AATCAGTTTTTACCTTATTAGGAGATTGCTATTTTCAACATTTAACTTAAAACCACTACATGGATTTATCTTCTAATCGAAGAGCTTCTTGACTTTCCAACTAGATTAGACTACCCTCTTTGAGTGCAAGGGACCACTAGACTCCATGTATTTTAAACTCCAAGTCTGTACAAATAGATACCTATTTGCCAGCCTCATGAAATTCTCTAATTTTGTAATGTGAGTTCGATAAGAGCAGGTGTCCCTAACCAATTTACCTATGAGATCTCAAAGTAGGATCTTGAACCTTAAGACTTCAGGGATCCCTTTTCAATGGATCCAAAAGGTCAAAAGTATTTTCATGGATGACATTAAGATAGATAGATAGATGGATGGATGGCTAGATGGGTGGAAGGGTGGATGGATGGATGATAGATAAAAAGGAAGGAAGAAATATTACTCTATCACTTTGAATATTTCCTTTCGATCTCTCAAGAGCACAAAGTGAAGTTTTTTAGATAGTACGGAAAGTGTGATATCTCAAGAGACTGCATACAGAAGCAGAAGTGAGAACCCGGCTGTCTTCCAGTAAGATAAAATTACAAAAACATAAAAACTTAAGAAACTACTCTTTGGCCAGGCAGTGGTAGCTAATCCCAGCACTCCCGGAGGCAGAGGCAGGTGGATCTCTATGAGTTCGAGGCCAGCCTGGTCTACAGAGTGAGATCCAGGACAGGCTCCAAAGCTATACAGAGAACCGCTGTCTCAAAAAACCAAATAAATAAATAAATAAATAAAATTTTTTTAAAAACTGTCATTTCTGATAAAAAGTATTAGGCCTCTTATTGTTAATTAAATAAGTAAATAAATATTTAGTTTTAATTTTAATTTCTAATATGGTGATATTAATAGATAAAAGTCACACAAATAATCTGGGTTCTAAAAAATGTTGACTATAACGGGGGTCTTGCAAACAAAAAGTTGTATGAAGTATTGTAACATACAATTACATAACACAGTGCCTTCCATGGCTAAGCAGCTCAGGTTAGTTCTGAAGTATCATTATTCCTTACCCCCTAATCTTACTGAGTTCTGTATCTCCTTGTAAAACAATTCATCATAAAGCCAATCTGTTTGGGCTCCATTTAGTGGGCTTTAGACATTTCATTTTCAGAGTCCTATTTATAAATATGTTAGAGTCAGTGATACCATAAATTAGACACCATAAAGCATCAGTTTCTCAAACTTTGTGCATGTGTGTGCGCACACACACACACACACACACACACACACACACACACACACACACGCCCATCCTAACAGAGATTTGTGAAGTAAATGCAAAGCACTGCTCTTTTTCCAGATGACATAAGGAAATGGAAGTGCTGGTCCAAGCAGGTGCTGCTCGCTAGAGTCTGGGCCCTTGGTCTTTTGCAATCTGCTTGGCTTTATCACTGGGGTATAACTGCAAGCTCCCAATGAAAATAAGACAGGGGCATTACTTTTATTGTCCAGGTGCCAAAACAGGGATTTTTCTCCCTCCTCAGTAAGAGTATAATCAGACTCAGTACCAGCCTGAGCATTACTTCAACACACTGGCTATCCTTCTAATCTCCTACCAAAAACAAACAAATTCTGGAGTGTTGAAGAAAAAAAAATTCAGAATACATAACACTCCAAGACGAAGAGTTAGTTAAGGGATCACAGATTTACCAATCATTTAATTACTGAAACTACAGGCAGGCAAGAACAAGATCAAGCTTAATACAGTAACACTCGACTATACCAATGAAGGGATGCCAAAAGGTTAAAATGGGAGGCCCACATGAAATGGGGTTGGACAGAAGAAAACACCCACCGAGTTGTGAAACTAGCTTTATTGGTCCTACAAATGCAGGTGATTAGACCCACCCTTCCAAAGCAGGGTCGGAGGCAACCATTTGCTGCTCCTTGTAAAGATGCCACCCTCTGCCCGGGACAGAAATCACCCTTCCATTACTAATTCGTTCCTGTTGTCAGCACAAACCTCTCAGTTATGCTCTATTTTAATGCGCTGAATTCCTCGGGAGAAGCTTCATTTGCTGCATCTCTTTCCCCCAGTCAAGTGGACTCCCTGACTGACGAGGCAAGACTGACTCACAACAGGATATCTGCAACTTGCATAATTCTTGTCTTTTTTTTTTCAGATGCTTGTGCACAATGAAGCCATTTCTAAGTTTGATGTGATTTTACAGAAAGAAAGAAAGAAAGAAAGAAAGAAAGAAAGAAAGAAAGAAAGAAAGAAAGAAAGAAAGAAAGAAAGAAAGAAAGAAAGAAATAGGTTGTGCTGATGCACCCACCTCTGATTCCCTGTACTGACCACAGATGAACAAGAGGAAGTGCCCCATTCCTTGTGAAGTGTATGCTTTTCTTAGTGGTCATGTGTGCGTGCGTGCGTGTGTGAGTGCGAAATCTCTCTTGAGAAAAATTCTGCTGGAGCCCCACGGCTACAGCTAATTAGCTAACAGACCACCAGTCCATGTGTGATACACCTTTGTGATGTTCCAAGCTCAAGACTCACTGTTCAAGACATATTTACAGGTAAGGGCCCATTTACACAAGTTCCTGCATTCCCACAAAGAACTGCAATACTAGCCAAGCATGGCAGCACATGCTTATAATCCTAGCACTCCAAGGGCTGTGGCAGAAAAATTAGGAATTCTAGGTCACCCTGGGCAATAACAGAGACCCAGTCTCGCAAACCAAAGGAATGGCAATACTGCTCAGTGAAACCAATTAACTGGTTAATTTTTAAAGTCTTCATGCGGAAAAAGACACCTGACTTTACAAAAGGTAAGTAAGGCACCAAGTCTTGGAGCTCCGGCAAACTGCAGTTACTTCTATTCCTTATCCTGGAGGACGGGCTTTCTTTGTGCCACTCGGTATGTTTTGCTTCAAGAACATAATCACCTTTGAAGAAGCAACCTGTCAGAAAAGTATTAAAGCACTCTCGAAACTACCTTCCCAGCTCCAAGCCAACCCAGGAGAAGACACCACTCTGCTGGACCGTACCACCGTCCTCCAGCACTGCAAATGAACTTGATTTCTTGTACACTGTTCACATTTTACACTACAGCCCAAGCTGCCAGTGATCTTAAAGCTCATAAACAAAGACCAGCGTCGGCACCAGGGCCCTACCAGGAAGTAATCAAAGCGGGGTGGCCGGTCCGACCTTAAGTCCCGGCAGACAATGAGAGGGCACCGGGCTTCCGAGGGGGCAGAAGGAGTTAACGCTTAAGCCAACCATAAGCAGAACATAAATCTAAGAAGTGTCTTAACACACACGCACTCGCGTGTGCTTGTTCCCAAAGCAATCCAGAACCAAACCGAAAGACCGTCTCGGAACAATCTCCGAAAGGCAAAAAAAAAAAAAAAAAAACTCGAGCCGCCCCTCCAAAGCAGCTGTTGGCTGCCTCCTCCCGAGCTTTCGGAGCCCGCAGCCTGTGTTCAAACTTCACCCTCCCAGCCTGAGGCCAGACTCGGAGATCAACCGCCCCCAGCGCAGTCGGCTCGGGGAGCTCGGGGGCGGGCGGGCGGGGGAGGGGGGGCAGGAGCCTGTGGGAACGGGGAGGAAGCGCAGCCCGAAGGGGCCCGCGCGCCCGGCAGTCCAGACAAAGCTGCGGCCGCAGAGCGGCGCTTTTCCTGTCCGGCCCACGGGGGACAGCGAGCTCGGACCCGCCACACGCGGGGCCAGCCCTTCGGTTCGCGGAGCCATGGGGGTGCGGGCCGCCGCGTCATCCCACCGCTGCGCGCTCGCCTCAGGCCCCCGCGGGCCTCTCCTCAGCCGGCCCGGCCGTCGG